CCCCCCCCCCCCCCCCCACACACACACCCACCCACCACCACTTCTATTAGACACTTTTCACTTTTTGAGCAAACTAAACAATTACTAAGAGTGCACAGCACATTCTGACAACTGCAGAAAAGAACTAATATAGCTGGTTTTACAGGTAACAGCAGCTCACCGTTCTGCCTAGGTTAGGTCAGGTCTGACTCGAGCACACGAAACAGATGTGAATGGGTCTGGAGACGCCAGTTATATTAACTGTATGTTGTCTGTACCATCTTTCATTTTGTTTAGTATGTTGTCATTGACACAGCCCTTGAAAGAACAGGCAACAAACAGCAATCTGACAACCATTAGGTATCAGGATGAAATCCTTGGGCCCACTGTCAGACTCAGTGCCGTACTTAAGTGGAGAGAGCAGTTCCTAGAGGATGAAGGAATTAACACCACTGACTGGCTCCCCATTTAGCTGACCTAAATCCAGTAGAACTCCTCTGGGACAATATGTTTCAGATCTAGGGGAAATACCCCAGTACACATTTCACTGTTTTATGCATACAGGCACGTGGGGGCTGTACAAACTACTACTGTCTTTGAATTCAGCCCTGTGTTGATCGTTTTGAGTTCTAATGCTTTAACAAAGTTCTTTATGAAAGCTGTAGCCAACCTAACTGACCATCCACCCATCCATCCATTCGCTTCTGCTTATCCTTCTCAGGGTCGCGGGGGGCGCTGGAGCCTATCCCAGCTGTCATAGGGCGAGGGGCGGGGTACACCCTGGACAGGTCGCCAGTCTGTCACAGGGCCAACACGCAGGGACAGACAACCATTCACTCCCGCATTCACACCTATGGACAATTTGGATTAATTAATTAACCTATCCCCACAAACTATATATAATAATATATAGTTAATAACAATTAATAATAATAATTATAATTACTCCTTTAGCAACAAGGCTTTATATACAACAACAATGCCCTTACTCTACCTATTATCTTTCTATTCTGTATTTCCAGTTATCTCAAAGATTTCCTCTTGTATCTTAGGAGTTTTTTTATCACTTATTGCCAAATGTTGATCAAGGAGGAATTTTGTGGCATTGTTATTCAGTAAACTACATGAACTATATATTAATGCAAAGCATAAATATATTTAATACCTATTCATATGTTGCTGAAGAAAATCAGATATGTAATTAAAAGCAATTTCTTACTAAAGTCTCAGGTAAATGCCACTTCCATCAAATCAAGTTTTTATGTTGCAGCCTACCCTACTAGATGTTATCGTGCCCCATCACGAATAACAGGTCTGACCTGTAGCGAACAAAGCTGAAAGTAGAAAATGTCTGCCAGAGTTAACTCTGAAAGAAGCAGACTGAGAAATGTGAAAACCACAAACAAACATTAGCTTCTACATTTTAGAAATCAAACAGTGGTGCCTTGATAGTGTGCAGCAGTTAAAAGTACCACATTTAGCTAAATAGTAATTATTTCATTATTCCATCACACAGCACACACAGCACACCTGCACTATCTATAGACTGTTTTTACTGATACTTGTTTGCCTTAACTCAAAAGTGATACAACGTATTGATCATGTCTGAACTTTAATAAAAAGTAAAAAGACCTTCATAACACTGTTAGGTGCATAGGTACTAATTATGTTGCTAAGAGGTGACTAGAAGATTCCATTGTTACACAACGGAAAAGAAAAAAGCCATTCCAACAAACAGGTATTACTAGTCCTTATGGTAAAACACGAGTGAGTCTACAGCATGGACCGGTATGAAGCTATGTTTTTTTTTCATTTCATAATGTTCGCAGTACAAGTAAAAAAAAAAAAAAGAAAGAAAAAAAGCTAAAGATAATGTGGCCTGGTTTTTTGTAACAATGCACAATGGACTTCCATGCAACGTGGGATATCTGCAGAGTTCTCTTTAGCTTTGTGTAGGGTTTATCCCACGTGTGCATGGTGAATGGACAGCACTTTTCTACTCTGCCTCAGGACTCAAATCACTTTATACAACTTGCCTCATTCACCCTTTCTATGCTTTTCCTGCTTAAAGTCAAGTATTTACACAGATCAGAGATAATTATGCAGACTGGGGCAGTCAAGGATCAAACCACCAAAGGTCAGATTATTAGATGACCTGCTATACAGCCACTCTATATGCATGTTGTTCACATTCAGTTCCTCTGATAGCAGTGAGCAGTATAAGATTAATATATATTTGCATTCTTAAAAGGTTAGGGGATTATCATATAAAGCCAGTATTTTAAATGGAAGACTAATTGCAGTTCGGTCAGCCAATTGCAGAGTTAGCTTGATCTTGCATGCTCAAGTTGTTGGGCAGAAACCATGTGCTGTCTATAATCGTTTTATGCTGAGATAATATGGACAGTAAATCATTCAAAGTTTCTCATTTTTATTCTATTTTATCCATCAGGATAAAAAAAAGGGTTCCATCTTTTTTATGGAATACTAACATCATAACATCATATTGTTATTAGCACAACAATCTGTAGGCAACTTAGCGTAAGCAAATGGAGATGCCACAATCTTAAACTCAACAGAGACAAAGAAACCCCTTCCAATAGTAATGAAGGTCTTATTTGTATCTGGATATTCTGTTCTAAAGGTTCTTAAGTTATAGTTCTCTGAAATTGTATCTCTCCTATCTCTCACATTATTGACTTGGATTCTTAGTCTTGTCCTTAATCCTAAATATATAAGATTTTGTCAATTTATTCTGTAATAATGTTAAAAATAAAGAATATTTTTAACCTGCCTGTGTTGTGAAAGAAGACAACAAAAGAAAACATCTATTTAAAATCGAAACTGCCTGCATTTATTTCCCCCCCCCCCCTTACTTTATGAACATGTTTTGTTTTTTATTGTAATTTAAGATGTTATCTCAGTCAGAGTAATAATAATGATCCATTTTAGCTACTTGGGGTTAAACTGGATCAGTTTTTGCATCTGACAGCATTAAAATATGAAAAATTTTAACATTATTTCCAGCTGCAAAAAATGTGTGATGAGGCTGTTCCAAGATTTTAGACCATTAGGTTTGTTCACCCATACTGATGGTCTAAAACTGAGGTTTATGGGAAACTTAAGACTGAAACACATGGCATGTCTGTGTATGTATTCTATGGGAGAGTAGGGACAACACAGTTTCTGTGGGCGCTTGATACAGCTGCAAGAACTGTGTTTGCATCATGTTTGCATATTTGAGGGTGGCTGTATCTTAGGAGGTACAGCAGGTCATCTAATAATCGGAAGGTTGGTGGATGGTGCAGACGAAAGACTGTCTGCTCCAGTCTGCATTTTACTGTTTGCTTGGGCAAGATAATAACCTCAAGTTTGTCTCGGATGCCATAGTAAATGTATGTGAAAGCACTTAAGGATCAAAAATCTGTGAACTGGGGAGTCAGGTTTCAAACCGCTTGCTCTACCTCCTGACCACCCAGAGTTTGCCACCCTTCCTGATTTCTTGTTTTTTGTATGCTTGTCATGATTAAATGTTTGAGATCGTCAAACAAATGTAAATATTAGACAAAGTAAATGCAAAATATACTTTCTAAATGAAAGTGTTTATTATCATTATTATTATTATTATTATTGTTGTTGTTGTTGTTATAGCAGAAACAATTGCAATAAAGTGTTTGCAATAACTGGCAATGAGTCTTTTACGGAGCTTTGGAAGAATTTTGGCCCACTCATCTTTCGAAACTGTAAATATCAGCCACAATTTTTTCAAGTATGTAGTTTTCAAGCATGAACTGCCTTTTTAAGGTAATGCCACAGCATCTCACTCACACTCAGGTCAGGACTTTGGAGTGACTAGGCCACTCCAAAGTCTTCCTTGTGCAGAACCCAAGTGCACGTCAGTTTCAACACATTCAAGAAGATATGAAAAGTCAATGATTGAAGAAGCCATTTGTTGCAGGAAGTGGAAGCAAATCATGAATGAGGTCCCAAAACCAGAAACACCTTGACTGATGGCTCTGAGGACCCCTTCCTCTTCCAATTACCAATTAAAGGACAAAAGAAGAAGAAGTAGAAGATTGATTAAGGTTTACTAGTAAATTGCAACAATTCCATAATGTTGTTGCCATTTGGACTTTCAGTTAAATATTTTCTAATCATTTTTGGCTGATATGTTTTCAGGACAAACAAATATATATAAAAAGGTTTTAATCATCTGTTTATTTATGTCAACAGACATTTATTCTTTGTAGATAGGTCTAAAGTTTATCAATATAAATATATCTGGCGTGCTTCCAAATAACCTGAACCATACATGAATGTAATATGAAAGGGTTCATTTCATAAACAGGTTGTTGGCAATGGATACTGTAACGTACTTTTTAGTTTGTGAATCTGTTGTCATTTGAGACTGGCAACCATAATGAAGCGTCCAGTGAATATCTACTGTTACTTAATTGCGTCTAATTTCGTCTACTCATAGGTTTTGGTTCTGTCCCAGCCTTTTCTCCAGCATCCTGCAGCTCTTGTTGTAGGACTTTCCAACCCCCAACACTTTCACTAATGAGGTATCCAATATGTTTGTTTCAACAACATGCTCACTAATAATGAAGTATGTGGAAAAAACAGTCCCCAAACAGAAAGTTGATACATGTCAAAATTTATTTATACAAAAAGCCATAAAAACAATATGCCATGCAATTCACATAATTCACATAATTCACATAATTCACATAATGATTGACATAAGATTTACTCCCCTCATCAATCCAGAGATCGATGATTACATTAAAACAATCACACAAACTGCAACAGATTTCTGACTGATTCACACCAACCAGTCATGTTCAAATTCAGACACTTATGAACTACTCTGTACTCAAACATTGTGTAAACACACTTTATAATAAGTGATACCAAAAGACATGTAGTGCACATCTTTACTTTGTTAATGTGAAGTAACTTCTACATTTATTTCTAGCCAAGTTTTTTTGTTTTTCCAAACTTATGTTACACTAAGAAACAATGTTTTTCACGTGAAAAAAAAACTGTGATATGGGAAAATGACAGAAAAGATGTTTATAGTGCTACAGTAGCGAATGAAGACGAGAGTCCTGCATCAACAAAAACAAGTAAATACCAGAGTAAAATCTGTTCATCTGTACGAGGTTTGCTTTTTCAGCCTTTACTGTAGGTACTTGCACTCACAAGTATCTAAAACAATTTAAAAACACGTGAAACGTCATATTGGTTCATAAAACCTACTAGAGCCATAAACACTGGCTTACATTTTCTGTAACACCTTCCTTCTAAAGGAAGTTAGTGTCTTAAACATTTGGGGCAGCAAGGATTTTTTCAGACAGGCAACATGGTTAGGCATTTATAGTTGCTGAACTGCTGCTCTGACTGGCTTTTCAGTTCTTACCCACTTAGTAACTAATGTCTTATATAGTCATACCAATCTCCTCAATCTTCCAGCCACTGGAGTTTTTTCCAAACTTGTATACAAGCCTCCTGCCATCGACTCGTTCCAGAATCTCCCTCTTATAGTAATACCTGCAGATGGAGAAGTTTCAGTTACTTGAAGTTCAGCACATAGCATATCATCCCCTTCATCATCTGGTGCTCAGTTTAAAACAACTGAGCGTTTTATATGTGAAGCGGAGAGTCTTAATGAGCCTGCCATAACAATCTTCTGGCTTCTGTGACCTGGAGGAGCTATGTATCCAGTGCAACTCTGATTAGTTGGGCTAAAGTTTGATTCATAGTTAAAGCAAAAGCATCTGAAAAGTATCTTAAATGTGACGAAGCTGTCACTGCTGTTACTGCAGCATGTGTTTTTAGCCTTGTTACAATATTTTCTTCTGAATCATATCTGATTCAAATATCTGATTAAATTGTTGAGATTGAGGAAGAAGTAAAGGAAGGGCTGCTGCAAGAACTCACCTCATTGCACGGCTGAGCTTTTCATATGTCATGCTGCTGTTTTTCTTCTTCTGGCCCCACATCTGAGCCACAGCTTCAGATTTGAGGAACTTAAAGACACCCTCACGGCGGTCCTCCCATTTCATTAGGCCCTGATTCTTTTCTGGGTGGATCAGAATGTCTCTGATGAATTCCCACAGGTGAGTGCCACGAGGTGCTGAAGACAGTGGGACAAAATAAGCTAAATGTCTGTTTGCATGTGCATGCTGCATTAGCATAAAGCAAGCAAGAAGAAAAGATCAATATCTGTGGTCTAGTAAAGATGCAAATTAAATGCAAAATAGAATCTGTAAAATAGTTCAGTGTTCAGATGCATGCCTACTGAAACGGTTTTACATTATGAGTAAGACAGCATTTGTGGGCTTACCATGTTTGTTTTTCTTTGGATTGTCATATATGTTGCTGCTGTGCTCTCTGCTGACTTTAGGAGGTCGCCCCCGTGGTCGTTTCAATCGGGACTCTCCATTCTCTGGCTTGATGTACACTTCTGTCGATGAGATGGTGACTTATCAGAAATGAATCGAAATACAGGGAATGCAAATAACTTCAAACGTTTTTTGTTGTTGTTTTTTCTTGTTTACTCACTTGAAATCGGAGGGTAAGAGAACTCGGGGTCAGATTCGCTGCTGCCAGACTCTGGTGAACCGATGCTTGGAAAGCCAAACATGCCAGCTGAATACATGAGAGATATATTTTTAATAACATTCTTGAACTTGAATGATAACAAGTCTTGACAAATATGAAGATAAAATACTAACTGTTGGAGGAGGAGCTGTACTCGCTGTCAGAATGATTATCAGACAGGTAGCCAGTGTCTCTCAGTGGTGTCATTGGTTCCATGGTCAGAGTAGTCAGATCATAGTCATCCTGATAGTCAAATTCTCTTTTGTTGACAGCTTCTTCAGCTGTAAGTAGAAATTAGCAAGTCCACTTGTAAACTAGTCCACATAATATGTCAACTTTGAACATATCGGTATAAGATGTACCTTGACCAATTTTAATTGTGCTGAGTAGAGGAAAGTTCTGTCCAAGGTTGTCCAAGAAGTTGTCCAAGAGCTGGCAGGTCTCGTTCAGTTCTTGTCCTGATAACATCTGCATCTCTGGGGAAGGAAAGATTAGTTTACATGTATTTTTCATACATAAAAATAATTCTTCTTCACATAGCTAGATGTTAGAAATAGTTCAGTTATGTATGGATATTTTCAGCTGTTGCTGTCAGTAAATTGTTCCTGAATAACATGAGCATTTTACCAGGCATTTTGCTCTTGTGCTCCTGTAGACTCTGATAGAGGTGTGGGCCAAGCTGCACACCAAAGATCCCAATCATCTGCTCCCGGTTCATCTGGCAAAGGGCGGAGCCATCCATGGCACAGTTTGCCAGACTAAGGGTGTTTGCATCGAACTTGGTGCTCTCTACTTGGTCACTGATCCACTCCAACACATGATCTGCTGTCCAGTAATTAGGGCTGATCTGCCTGTACCCCTGACCTGCAGCGACAGCCAGAGATTATTTATTATTCCTGAGCTGTGCAGATACTCAGTACACACTAAGCTTTAACAGAAATTTAGCATATTTTCATAAAAACCATGATCTTGGTTCATACACACAGGTTTGAATCTGACAATAAGGCACTTTTAGTTTAGCTTAACTTTGAAGCCCGTCTCTAAGTTCGAACAAATAAAGTGAAACTGTTTTAACCATGAGGTCACAGCATTCTCCTGTTATGCGGTTATGCTGAGTTAAACATTACTTGCCTGGTAAATCATTTAGTGAGTGACTAAATAAGGTCAAAGCAAAGGTGAGCAGGCTGGCTGAAGTTTGAAAGAGAGCGTCTGTTTACTTTGAGATTAGTCTGTAGCTGAAACTAGACTGGCCTGGTTAACTAAAGCTTCAAAGCCAAGAGACTTAACATGTTGAAAATCTTTTGTCTGACACAGATCAGCTAAACACGTGAATTGTGTGACAGTGCAAGGTCAGAAATAACATGTCTCTTCTCACCAGCTATGTTGGAACTGTATGCTGGATTGCTGATTTGCAGCGGACTGATGCTGGAAAGCATAGTGGCCTGATGTTGCAGCACATCTGGCAAACCAGTCTGATACATGGTTAGGTTAGCATGAGTCAGAACAGTGCTGAGGCACGGCGATGACATGGAGGCACTGTGAAATATAGAAAATGCTTCTTTACATCCCAGAAAAACTAGCAAACAGGAAACCAGCAAACAAAGCTTATTAAAAGCAGGATCATTAGTTAGGTATGTATATAATTTACCTGATTACAACACTGGCCACAATATGATGAAACAGAAAGACGTCCTAAGACAATCCAGTGTCTGGATTCTGCTGTTTGAGTACCACTGCCCTCTCTGGCTCGGTATCCACGGCAAAAAAATGTAACTGCTTTTACCTTATGAGCTTTATAGTTGTGGGGGATGGACTCAGGTAAATTCAGGGGAATTCCACCTGAACATGGCCACGCCTCCATTGCTACTCCTCCCCCAGTTTCCTGAGAACTTGATCAACAAAACAAACCTGCCCTGCCTTTTATTCTTCGCTTATATTTCTACATCATATTTTGTACACTGACTGGGCAGCTTTCATAGGCTTCTTTTTCCTTAGATTTTTGTTGCTTGACATTTCTTTTGTTCCATTACAGTTCTTATTCTAGGTCCCTTTTGAAATACTTTTACATTTCTACTGTTTTTCAACTAACTTGACATATTTAAATGTCAAGGTATTGACACAGACATGTTTCACATCAGTGAGGAAGGGGTGTGTGTGATAGACATTTGCAAATAGTCACGATCTAAAAAATAGACACAAAGAGGTACCTGTCCTGTGAGGACAGGTACCTTTATCAGTTTTGCCAGTCACCACAGGCAAACAGTGATAAAAGAATGTTATGTAGCTTCTCAAACTTCTACTGCACCCAGCTGCCTTGTTTGACACACACGAAGCTAAGTGGTAACCTCATATTTACCAGGTTACACACATAAACACACACAGGCACAGAGAGGGCACAGAGAAAGATTTTCATGGCAAGAAAAACTTAATTGAACCTTTGTATTGATCAACCTGTATCTTTAATACTGGTGTGAACATGAAAATATGACTTGTACATCCAAAATATCCAGCAGTAAGTTTTTGCCCAAAATATGTGCATTTTCTATCTTAGCCTTGATGTCCAGGATGACTGACATTTATTTTATGGACCTGCCTCACATATTTAGCCAGCTTTATGACTTCTGGGCCATATCTGACCTAGACTACGCTTGCACACTGCACCATATCAAGCCTTTTGACCCATGTTTGTGAGGGAGCTGAGCTGTAAGTCCTAAAAGCAGCTCAGATTAGGCCTAAATGTGTCTGTTTCTAATTTACTCTGATTCCAAAGTCTCTACCAAGCTAAAACAAACCATACCTGCCAAACCTCTCATCAGTGCACAAAGCCTTCAGTTCATGTTGCCAGCAATGGCAACAGCTTAATGAAGTTATGTTGCCTGTTGACTTTAGAGGTGCTGTAAATTATTCTTACTCTGAAACTCTAGGAGCAGACAGCAGTCGGCACACTGTATGCCAGTGTTTCCCTCGCTCCAGTCAGAATTGTAGACTGTTAAGAGTGTCCAGCTCTCTTAACATTACTGTACCTAGATACCTGTAACAGAGCTCAAAGCCTAGAGAAGTGTAAACTTAATCCTTACAACAGCAAAGAAATATCAGCGGCCATATTGTTAGTATTGGTACTAATACTTGTTTAGATAAACATCAGAGGATATAAACACAAGAGGGCATGTTGATAATTATTCCATCCTAATGGTAAGCTCGTCAGTATTTTGCAGACACAGTGTGTACGTACTCTGTCCAGGTGTCATATTGCAGAAAGAAACAGGTTTTCTGTGTTGCAGCAAACCAAAGCTACTGCTTGGCCTGGCTCAGTGCTGATACCTAGTGGTTAGTAATCTCCTGCCAAAGCCTACAGCATTTGTAAAGTATCTGTTCTGCTAATATAAAAAAGGATCTCTTACAATATGGCTTGGCTTGGCCAATACATGGTAGAAATGCAGAAAAGTACAGAAAGAAATACATAAAAATGTACCATTGAAATACTGTCAATTATTGCTTTTTTTTAAAAGGCTTTAAAAAGTGACATGTCATTCTTGTTACGTTTCAGGTCATATTAGAGTTTTGTTGTACTCTTTAATCTCTTGGGTGACTGTTTAGGGCTAGGGTCTGTGGTCCATTTAAAATAGTGTTTTTTCTTGTACTCTATCATTGATTCCAAAAGTAATCATGAAATTCAGCAACAGGAAGGTTTTCTACACGAGTGCTGTAACACGATGGCTGTAACTACCACAAAGTGTTTAACGCAGCACAGCGCAGATATTCATTTGTATGCAAATAAAAATAGGCATTATGGATTTTATTTTTTTGACTTACTGTGTTGAAATGTTTTGCAGTGAAACACAAATATGCTCCCAGCAAGAGAAATAACATAGGAGAACACCGGAGAAATGAACTCACAAGTCATTTAACCAAATCAAAGTAAACTTTATTGTCATCTCCACAGCCAGTGCAGCACACAGAGAGATGACACAACGAGGCTCCGGTTAAATCGGTGAAAAAAGCAAATAGCTAGATATAAAGGGAGTAATAAAAACCTACAAACTGGCCAGTCAGCATCAGCGTTAGCAAAACAAGTAACTGCCTCTGTTATTCATAGGCCAATAAACACATCAGCAACAACAACAAAATGGATAGATGGCAGAGCCAGAAATTCACTCTGTATATTTAAGTTAGGAAAGAATAAAGGTGTAAGACCACAAAAGAACTCGTGCTTTAGGCCTCAGAGTCGAATGTTTAAAGATTTCTTTTGATGCATGCTTGGGGACATAGCAATAAGTAGACATCTGGTCCAACATTAAGCATTGCAATTATGAAAGCCTGCTTTCAGTGATAGGAACACCAGGAGACCAGACCCAGACACTTCCTGTTTGCTGAAATACTTCTCTCATACTGTTTTGAAAAGAAAAAGTAGAACAGTGCCAGAAGAAGAATGTGGCTTTCAATTTAAAAATAAATCACCAAGTTTGACTTTGGAATAATGTGTGTTATACTTCAATCATTTAGAATTTAGGCAACTTTTATGTATATCCGACGTGACATTTTTCACAGCTCATCTGACACTTGGATCTTCAATTCTTTGCACTTTTCGTCCCTATACTTGGCTTTTGCTGGAATCAGGAAACTGAGCTAGAGCAAAAAGACTCAGAATTTACATCACAGCGGTACAGAATTCACTGTTCTCAATGTTGTTCCTGTTTTAAGTAGGCTTTGCGTCAGCATTATTCATAGAGGCATTTTTGTTAAGAATTAATGACATTCCAGCGCTAACTGATCAGTATTATTAGGAGGAAAGTCCTAAAACATATCACTTGTCTCTGGTCATAAAAGCAGGGTGAGACGTCACAGGCTCTTATTCAGAGTGAGAAGAAATATCAGGTGTGGACAGGTGTGGACAGGTGGTGACGTGTGTCTGATAATCCTATTTCCTACTAACCTTTGGAATCTGTTTCAGTCAGTAATTGCTAAAGAACATTGCTTTCTCCCAGATTTCACAATGCTGCTCACTCAGTTTCCCCAGCGGATTACAGGAATGCTACGCAACAGGTTTTTGCTTTCATCGCCTGAAGACTAACGGACAAATTCTTTCATCGCTTTCAATGCATGCTCTTTTTCGTCACTCTTCATTGGTATATTGCTAAAGTTGGGGCATTTCGCAGATACCGTATAACAAAAAATATGCCTTTAGCCCAATCACAACCCACATTAAAGTTTTACTGTGACCCCCTTTCAAAAATATAGTTTCAATAAATGTAATTAGATTTATGCAACATGATGAAAAATTTAATGGTGTTTACCTATAATTATGTTGCAATATGAACATGACACCAGACATCTCAAACAGCAAAACAATATTAACTACAAATAAAGAACCGTGTGAAACCCAGTAATTAACCTCAGTGTGTGAAGAGGACTCTCCATTTACATGCACAAACTGGAGTCTATTAGATAGATATGATACAAACCACTGCAG